TGTTACAGGAGGATGTAGGGGTTGGAGCAGTATTGTTAGAGGAGGATGTATGTTTTGGAGCTGTGTTGTTACAACAGGACATATGTGTTGCAGCTGTGTTGTTACAGGAGGATGTAGGGGTTGGAGCTGTGTTGTTACAGGAGGATGTATGTGTTGGAGCTGTGTTGTTTCACGAGGACATATGTGTTGGGGCTGTGTTGTTACAGGAGGATGTGGCGGTTGGAGCTGTGTTGTTGAAGGAGGATGTAGGGGTTGGAGATGTGTTGTTACAGGAAAATGTAGGTGTTGGAGCTATGTTGTTACAGGAGGATGTAGGGGTTGGAGCTGTGTTGTTACAGGAGGATGTAGGTGTTGGAACTGTGTTGTTACGGGAGGATGTAGGTGTTGGAGCTGTGTTGTTACAGGAGGATGTGTGGTTTGGAGCTGTGTTGTTCCAGGAGGATGGAGAGGTTGGAGCTGTGTTGTTACAGGCGGATGTAGGGGTTGGAGCTGTGTTGTTACAGGAGAATGTACGGGTTGGAGCTGTGTTGTTACGGGAGGATGTAGGTGTTGGCGTAGTGTTGTTAGAGGAGGATGTAGGAGTTGGAGCTGTGCTGTTACAGGAGGATGTAGGGGTTGTAGCTGTGATGTTACAGGAGCATGTGGGGGTTGGAGCTGTGTTGTTCCAGGAGGATGTAGGGTTTGGAGATGTGTTGTTTCAGGAGAATGTAGGTGTTGGAGCTGTGTTGTTACAGGAGGATGTAGTAGTTGGAGCTGTGTTGTTACAGGAGGATGTAGGGGTTGGAGCTGTGTTGTTCCAGGAGGATGGAGGGGTTGGAGATGTGTTGTTCCAGGAATATGTAGGTGTTGGAGCTGTGTTGTTACAGGAGGATGTAGGGGTTGGAGCTGTGTTCTTACAGGAGGATGTAGGGGTTGGAGCTGTGTTGTTACGGGACAAAGTAGGTGTTCCAGCTGTGTTGTTACAGGAGGATGTGGGGGTTGGAGCTGTGTTGTTACAGGGGGAAGTAGCGGTTGGAGCTGTGTTGTTACAGGAGGATGTCGGTGTTGGAGCTGTGTTGTTACAGGAGGATGTATGTGTTGGTGCTGTGTTGTTACAACAGGACATATGTGTTGGAGCTGTCTCGTTACAGGAGGATGTAGGGGTTGGAGCTGTGTTATTATAGAAGGATGTAGGGGTTGGAGGTGTGTTGTTACAACAGGACATATTTGTTGGAGCTGTGTTGTTACAGGAGGATGTAGGGGTTGGAGCTGTGTTGTTACAGGAGGATGTAGGGGTTAGAGCTGTGTTGTTATAACAAGACATATGTGTTGGAGTTGTGTTGTTACAGGAGGATGTAGTGTTGGAGCTGTGTTGTTACAGGAGGATGTATGGGTTGGAGCTGTGCTGTTACAGGAGGATGTACGGGTTGGAGCTGTGCTGTTACAGGAGGATGTATGTGTTGGAGCTGTGTTATTGCAGGAGCTTGTAAGTGTTGATGCTGTGTTGTTACAGGAGGATGTGGGTGTTGAAGCTGTGTTGTTACAGGAGGTTGTAGGGGTTGGAGCTGCGTTGTTACAGGAGGATGTAGGGGTTAGAACTGTGTTGTTACAGAGGATGTAGGGGTTGGAGCTGTATTGTTACAGGAGGATGTGTGTTTTCGAGCTGTGTTGTTCCAGGAGGATGTAGGGGTCGTTGCTGTCACGTAACAGGAGGATGTGAAGGTTGGAGCTGTGTTGTTCCAGGATGATGTAGGGGTTGAGATGTTCTGTTACAGGAGAATGTCGGTGTTGGAGCTGTGTTGTTACAGGAAAATGTAGGTGTTGGAGCTATGTTGTTACAGGAGGATGTAGGTTTTGGAGCTGTGTTGTTCCATGACGATGTGATTGTTGAAGCTGTGTTGTTACTGGAGGATGTAGGGGTTGGAGCTGTGTTGTTACAGGAGGATGTAGGTGTTGGTGCTGTGTTATTACAGGAGGATGTAGTGGTTGGAGCTGTGTTGTTACAGGAGGATGTAGGTGTTGGAGCTGTGTTGTTACAGGAGTATGAGGGGTTTGAGCTGTGTTGTTATTGGAGGATGTATGTGTTAGAGCTGTGTTGTTACAGGAGGATGTAGTTGTTGGAGCTGTGTTTTTACACGGGGATGTAGTTGTTTGAACTGTGTCATTAAAGGAGGATGTAGATGTTAGAGCTGTGTTGTTACAGGAGGATGTAGGATTCGGAGCTGTGTTATTACAGGAGGATGTGGGTGTTGGAGCTGTGTTGTTACAGGAGGATGTAGGGGTTAGAGCTGTGTTGTTACGGGAGGATGATTGTAAAATTGAAAGGCCAAATGGTTACTTTTTAAAAAATCTCAATATCCACCAGACAAATATTCAACCATTGAAAAAGGGTTATTGAGTTTGGTCATGGCCTTAAAACATTTTAACAGTTATGTTCCAAATAATACATCAGAGACAATTGTTAATACTGATCACAATCCTTTGACATTTCTGGAAAGATTTAACAAGAACACCAGATTATTTCCCTTCTGTTACAAGCGTTTAATTTGTAGACCGTACATGCTGTGGTTCTTCTGCCCCTTATCTTAAATCTGTGCCTCCTGATCATTGATTCCTCTAACAAGAGGAAATGTTCCTTCCTGTCTACCCTATCTATGCCTCGCATAATTTAATACATCTCAAGAGGTCCCTCAGTCCCCTCTCCTCCAAGGAAAACAACCCCAGTCTACCTAATCTCTCTTCACAACTAACACTGTCCAGTTCAGGCAACATCCTGGTAATCTCCTCTCCACCGTCTCCAGTGCTACCACCGCCTCCTTCCTCTCACCTGCATTCCAGAACTGCACACAATACTTTAGCTGTGACCAATGTTTTATATAGTTCCCGCATAACCTTCCCTCAGCATGACCAATTCCCCATTAATTATAATTTTCAAGTGTTTTTCTTTCTTCAGATTTACTGGTATTACTGGGAAACTTTATATCCCTTCTTGCGAAGACAGTTGCCATTTCTTTCATATGTACTATTAATACTGTTTTTATTAACCAACACTCACTTCATTTACTGTTTTCCTTTTCTGATACCTGTTAGATCTCTTGCCATCTGTTTTTACATTACTAGCTCGTGTCCTTATATTCCAATTTATGTGTCCTGATTAACTTCTTAGTCATTCCCTGCTGTTCCTTGAATTGTGACCTTTATTTTTAACCAGCTAATTATCTTTACACAATTACATGCCTTTTCCTAAAGTTTACGGCTCTCTTGACTACAGTTACCAGGTATTCTGCTTGGAATTTTTCCTTTTAAATAGTTTAAATGTACTTATCGCGAATGTTCTGAAATATCCCTTTAAATGTCTGCCACTGCTTTCCTACTTACCTATTTCCTAGCCTAGTATCGTAGATCGCTTCAGTAAGCTTAGTTTATATGGCCAGTGATGCAAGATCTTCTGGGTTGACTGAGCATACTTAAGAACATAGAACAGTACAGCACAGTACAGGCCCTTCGGTCCACGATGTTGTGGTCACCTATTATCCTACTAAGATCAATCTACCCTGCATACTCTACATTTTACTATCCTCCATGTGTGTATCCAAGAGTCGCTTAAAAGTCTCTAAAGTATCTGACTCCACTACCACTGCCGGCAGCGCATTCCACATGCCCACCACTTTCTGTGTGAAGAACATACCTCAGACATCTCCCCTATACCTTCCTCCAATCACCTTAAAATTATGCCCCCTCGTAATAGTCATTTCCACCCTGGGAAAAAGTCTCTGACTATCCACTCTATCTATGCCTCTCATCATCTTGTACACCTCTATCAAGTCACCTCTCATACTTCTTCGCCTCAATGAAAAAGCCCTTGAAGGACCAAATAGCCTTTTGCTGCTCCCAATGCTTTTAATTGAATAAACATTACAAATTTGCACACATCTAATTTTGAAAAGACAATTTAAAATCCTACTTTGTTGCCAATGTGTTGTCTTGCCTTTCTCTATATTGCCATTTCTAGTTTAAAATTTTCTAATTTACATAAAATACAAGACGTTTTAGAACCAATTGCTAGAATTAATTACTTTTATTGCAATAATTTAAATTATCAGTATTTTATACTGACCAACAGAAGAACTTAGGTTGTGGAATGCTTATAAAAACGATTGATGAGGGCTGTTGTGGCTCAACGGTAATATCCTGGACCAGGAGGCCACGGTTCAAGTCTCACCTGCTCCAGAAAAAAAAAGTTATTAAGAGATTCTTATTTTCAATTTCCTGATTATTATACTTCTAATAATTGTGTATGAATAATTATAGAATGATAACGCTGAGCATGCTTTAAACAGCAGCTGACAGTGGCTGGAAATAGCAGGTGAGGTGCCCAATTGCGGCTTGTTTCTCCTCCGAAGATTGTACGAAGAGAATGCTTACTTATTAATGGGGCACCGATTTGGGATTTGTACTGTTATCCTCGTATGTTTGTTTAACTTGGGAAAGTAACGTTTTCTGTAGCCCAGTGAGTGAAATTAGGTTCAGTAAGGATGCCGGTCCTCTGTGGGCACCCTGAATTGTCCTATAGGAATGAATAGCTCCGCTCCCTATTTAGGGTTTAGCTCTGACTTGGGCTGGGGATACAGTCCGGATCTTTCCCGCTGTACTATTCCAGAAAATATTTATAGCTTTTCAATTTCAAATCCGGTATCATTGAAGAAGACAGCTCTGCAGTGAGGATCCTTCACAGAAAATAAAGCTTCGGACAAAGATACATTCGGAGTCCGCGGTTAGAAGAGCAGATGCAAAGACAGAAATTGCTGGAAAAATCTCAGCAAGTTTGGCAGCGATTTCTCGCCACAGATGCTGCCAGACCTGCTGAGTTTTTCCAGCAATTTCTGTTTTTTGTTTCTGATTTCCATCATCCGCCGATGTTTCGGAAAAGAGCAGACCCGCTCAGGGGCGGGGCTATGGCGGCAAAGAGGGCGGGGATATGCTGATTAGGGGGCGGGACCACAATGGTGAGGGGCGGGGCCAGCCGGGGCTGGTCACATGGGCCGCTCTTCGCGCCACTTTCGGAAAGCCGGGCCAGCGGTAGTCGGTGTGAGGGGAGCTGGGTGAACGGGTTCTTTGGCCGGATTCCCGGGTTATGTCGATGAAGGTAATTGCAGTCAGCAGTGCCGCTTTAATCCCCGCCCGGGACACGGAGTCCATCTCCCCGTGGGTCGGTTACTGTCTGTTGCCGAGATTACCGCTGCCAGTGCACCGTCAGGGAGCGCCTCCCGGCGAATAATTTCCTCTTTCTCTGCCGCCAGTATCTGCCACCTGGAACCATCGGGGAGACGGTGAGCGGCTTATCGGGTTTGTGGAGAGATGGACAGTGGGTGTTTCTTCATCGGGGAATGGGGCTGGGCTGAGAGCGGAGGCGGGGGGGACTCAGGCCGGTGTTGGGTAGGATGGAGGGCCGTTCTGACTGTGAGCGGGTGATCTGGAGTCAGGAATAGGCTTTGATCCCGGACCGGTGTCTCGGGCTCGGAGTGAGCACATGGCGCGACTGGAGGCTCTAGGCCTGCAGCGAGGTGGAGGCAGTGCGCATGTGCTGAGGCCGCGTGGGCCGTCGGGATCTAAAAACTTAATTCAAAAAAGATGGCGGCCTGAGTGCAGGAGCGCGCGCGTCTGCCTAGGTACGGAGCGCGTGACCACGCTCCCTGAGCCAGAGCGCGCACCCCAGCTGGGTGCCCATGTCTGGCGGATTGCCATTGTCCTTATCCAGAGTTTACAGGCGCGCGGATTTGTCAGCAAAACGTCAATTTGCAGTATATGTACCGTCTAGTTGGAGCGTGTTCGGTGGAACGAATGATGGGAGTGGGGTAACAGGTCAGCCAAGGCAAAACAAATTAGCACAATGAGACCATTCAAACCTGCTTTGTAATTTAGGAACATCATAGTTGATCTGTTTCAAATTTCACGTTCCCCCTCCGTGCCGATAACCTTATACCTGTCTACCTAACAAAAATTCAAGTATTCAATGACCTGGCCTCTTCCCGCACTTGATGGAGAGTTTCAGAATTGCCCACCCATCAGAAAAGATTCCTCATAACGTCTTGTCCTATTAGGATGACCACTTGTTTTAAAATTGTGCTCTCTTCTGAGTTCACCCGCAAAAGTCAAAGAATCCTCAATACAGAAAAATGCCTTTTGGCCCATCAAATCTCTGCTGGCCAAAAACAACCACCTAACTATACTAATACTATTTTCCAGCCAGTGCCTTGTATGCCTTGACATCACAAGTGTACATCTAAATACGACTAATAATTTAGGGGGGGGGCGGTTCCTGCCTCCCACTGCCCTCTGGGTGAAAATGCTTTTTCCTCATCCCCTCTAGACCTCCTGCCACTTAGCTTAAATCTATGCCCTGTGGTCTTTGATTCCGCAGCCGGAGCATTTCTTCTATCCTTTCTATGCCACTGCATTTTATACATTTCAGTCATATCCCCCACCCCCACAATCCCGCTCAATGTCCTTTGCTCCAAAGAAAACAGCCCCAGTCTATCCAACCGTTCTTCGTAACCAAAACTCTGCAGCCTAGGCAACGTTTGGTAAATCTCCTCTGCACCCTTTCCAGTGCATTCACATTCCTCATATAATGTGGATTGCGGAACCGCCCACAATACCCTAGTCGTGACCAAACCAATTTTTTAAATGCAATTCCAGCATCACCTCCCTGCTCTTAAACTCTATACCTTCGCTGGTAAAAGCTGGGTCATAGAGTCAATATAGATGTACAGCACAGAAACAGACCCTTCAGTCCAAGCCGTCCATGTTGACCAGATATCCTAAATTCACCTTGTCCCGTTTACCAACATGTGGCACGTATCCCTCTTAAACTCTTCCTATTCGTGTATCCATCCAGATGCCTTTTAAATGTTGTTATTGCACTAGCCTCCACCACTACTTCTGGCAGCACTTTCTATACATGCACCATCCTCTGCATGAAAAGGTTGCCCTTGGGTCCCTTTATGGGCTTCCCCTCTCACCTTAAAGCTATGCCCCTAGTTTGGACTGACCCATCCTAGGGAAAAGACCTTGGCTATTCCCTCTATCTATGCCCCTCATGATTTTATAATCCTCTAAGGTCACCCGTCAGCCTCTTAGCCCCAGCCTATTCAGCCTCTTCCCTATAGCTCAAACCTCCAACTCTAGCAACATCCTTGTAAATCTTTTCTGAACCCTTTCAAGTTTAACAACATCTTTCCTGTAGCAGGGAGACCAGAATTGAACACTGTATTCTAAAAGTGGCCTCACCAATGTCCTATACAGCTGCAACATGACATCCCAACTCCAATACTCAATGCACTGACCAATGAAGGCAAGCATGCCAAATGCTGCCTTCACCATCCTGTCTACCTGCAACTCCACTTTCAAGAAACAATACACCTGCATCCCTATGTCTGATTGTTCAGCAACAATCTCCAGGACTTTACCATTGAATGTATAAGTCCTGCCCTAATTTGCCTTACTAAAATGCAGCACGTCATGTTTATCTAAATTAAACTGCATTTGCCACTCTAGCTCATTTGCCCATTGGGTCAAAGTCCTGTTGTACTCTGAAGTAACCACCTTTGCTGTCCACTACACGACCAGTTTTGATATCATCTGCAGACTTACTAACCATCCTTCCTATGTTCACATCTAGATCATTTATACAAATGAGGAAAAGCAGTGGACCCAGCACCGCTCCACACCACTGGTCATTGGCCTCCAGTCCGGAAAGCAACCCTCCACCACTCCCCTCTGTTTGAGCCAATTTTTTATCCAAATGGTTAGCCTATATTCCGTGTGAACTAACCTTGCTAACCAGTCAACAGCGTTCTGTCTCTTCCTTGCATGTTCACACCCTTGCTCTCTGTCTCTTGCTTGCTCACGCACCTGTTCTGTCTCGCTTGAACATGCCCTTGCTGGCAGTTGCGCTCGCTCTCCAGTTGTCTCTGGCTTGTATGGGGCCATCCCCACCACCACAGTGCCTGTTTTCTCGTACACATGCACCCTGTCCCCCTCAGTGTGCACGGGGCATGTAAGTGTAAGGGAGAGCCTGCTTTCTGATGTGGGAAGGAGAATGGGCGGCACGGTGGCTCATTGGTTAGCTCTGTAGCCTCACAGCACCAGGGACCCAGGTTCGATTCCACCCTCGGGTGACTGCCTGTGTGGAGTTAGCATGTTCTCCCCGTGTCTGCGTGGGTTGCCTCCCACAGTCAAAAGATGTGCAGGCTAGGTGGATTGGCCATGCTAAATTGCCCGTAGTGTTCAGGGATGGGTGGGATGCTCGGAGGGTCGGTGTGGACCTTTTGGGACAAAGGGCCTGTTTCCACACTGTAGGCAGTCTATGATCTGAGATCCTCCCAATGGGGTAGAATCCTTACTGAATCTTGGTGAAAATGGATGGTTTCATCAGCTGGATTTCTTTTGCAGGTTTTTGCTTTGATGCAATTGGGCATTACGAGGGGTTGCAAAAAATTCATAAGCATTTTCATTTATTCCCTCATGGGATGAGGGCGTCGCTGACTAGGCCAGCCCCATTGCTGTGGGTCTGGATTCACGTGTAGGCCAGACCAGGTAAGGGTGGCAGTTTCCTTTCCTAAAGGTCATAGGGAACTGGATGGGTTTTTCCTGACAACCGGATTCATGGTCATCATTAGATTCTTAATTCCAGATATTTATTGAATTTAAATTCCACCAGTTGCCCTGGTGGGATTTGAACCCAGGTCCCCAGAACGTTACCTGGGTTTCTGGATTAACAGTCCAGTGATAATACCACTAGCCCATTGTCTCCCATTTTGGGGCCAAGGAAATGGAGGAGTTAGTTTTGTTGATAAGCTAAGTTGGTTCCCTTGAAGAAGGTTATGATGAGATTTGATCAAGGTCTTCAAACATATGAGTTCCTACACGATCTAGGGGAGAAACTGTTCTCGTTGGTGGAAGATCAAAAACTTGGCATGTATTTAGTATAATTGGTCAAAACAACAACAATGATAATATTATGATGTGAGCGCAGTGAATGCTTGGGATCTTGAATGTGCTGCCCGTGTGTGTGGTGGAATCCGATTCAGTGGAGGCTTTTGAAAGGAAATTTGATCATTACCTGAAAAGGGAAAATAAAAAGCAGGCGTGTCTATGGGAAGCAGTGATGGACTACCACCGGGTGCTTATGCAGAGGTCCATTCCCCGTTGTGAAAGAACGGTTTCATCCAATAGCTCCGGTCTTGTAACCATTCTTTAATTCTGTGGGGAATATTTGTTTTAAATTGAATATAACCAAACCTCCTAATGAAATAACATTGCTAGCCAGTTAATATGACCAGCCCCTGGTAATGGCAACAGCTACCTCCCAGCTCGAACCAAAAAAGGATGTATTTAAAACTCTGGAATTTAGCCTCTGTGCTGTTCCTAGGATGATACTGTCATCTGTAATTGCCCTGTTAAGCTACTTCAGAGAGTAGTAGCAGTAGAACTGGACTCACCGGTCAGACAACATGGACTTCACGTTGCTTTCCTTGGGGACATTTATTGTTGCTTTTACTGAGATTGGTTCTTTAGTTCCAGTTGTAAATAAAATTTGATTTCAAATTCTCAAAATACCTTGAAGGGATTTGAATTCGCCTTATTTAGAATATTATTCCCGGTCTGTACATTATGAGCCCAGTGACCATATGTATTCTAGCCTCTGAATGTTTCTATGACTTGACGCAGTGCCTCATTTGAGTTGTCAGGATTTAAGTGTTTCATAAAGTGGATTCGGAGCCATACAGTCTTCCACCTCAGTTGATCATTAAACACGTGTGGTTGTGAGGCTGTAAAGTCCAGACCATCCTCTCTGAATGTCAGTCACTTGTATCGATTGGGATTAGATTATTTGGGTAAGATTTAATCTTTAAAATGTAATTGCAAAACATTTCAAGTGGTCTTGTTTTGAATTTGGATTATTGTGTCGAATGCAGTTCATCTATTAAAGCAATTGTATCAATTTATTTAATCATTGGTTGGTGCTTGATTTTTTTTTTATTTATCCCAGCAGGCATGAACATAGAAAAGGGAGCATCGCTTTGAAGATTTGTTGAATGGGTGTTAAATGTGAAGAAAGCAACCCTGCACTGGATTGGGTCAAGTTGTGCAAAAGTGCTTACAGTGCAGGTAGCAGAGTGCATCTACTGCAGTGTAAGCACTTCTTGCATTACTTTGGCAGATATGTTTTAACTGCAGTCATCCCAGGCCTCAACCCCATCCTAACACTGCACTGCTGTGTTAATTGCTTTGCAAGCCTGTGCATGCAGTTTGCTAACGTACCCCTTGTGTTAAGGTGCATCTAGTGCAGTTAGTGATATAGCTTTGAATCTACTGCCCTAAGTGCTCCTTCTGGCACAGGATGCTACACGGTCAGCCTGGTAATCACACTTGACATGTTACAGGGTGTAAACTAAATTCCAGTTGACAAGTTAGCACACTCATTGTTTGTAATTTTTATTTTGCTTGTGTCTTATTCTGTAAGCTACTTGACACTTTGGTTTGAAGTGAAGTGATTAGATTTGAAAGGCCAAAATGCTATGTTTCTGCAGTTTATTGAGCATGAGAGTGTGCTGTTATAGCATTTCATTATTGCAGTCTGTAAATAGCCTTTACTATTAAGATACTATAGCACTGGACTGTATCATAAAAGCTGCATGAATACTGTGGGATCCCTACTTTGAATTAATCCATTGTCCCACGACTTAACGATTTTGAGTTGTGGTAGGCAAGTGTGACTTCGTCTTTCTAACCATCAGTGGAGGCTTTCAAAAGGAAATTCGATCATTACCTGAAAAGGGAAAATAAAAAGCAGGCGTGTCTGTGGGAAGTGGTGATGGACTACCACCGGTCTTTCAAGGTTGCTAGACTCCTATTTTGTGCTTTATGTTGGTAAGGATTGGATGAATTCTTGGCATAATGTGCTGAGATCATGAATGACTTGAGGTACAGAAAATTGGAAATTCCCAAAAGGGAATATCATGTTAAATGGTTACTGCATATAATGCTGTCTCATATTCAAATACATTGAAAATGATTAGGACAATTAAAGGGCAGCAACATTTAATATAACCAGTCTAACCAAATCTTTGCTTTAGAAACATTAAATCAAAGATGCTAACTTTGATTTGAAGGTGACCTGTATATTCTGCAAGAGAATGTACAAAGTGTCTCAAATGTGCTTTAGTTGCTTTTGCATCAATGACCAGTCCTGCAACTTTCTGCCAGTTTTGCAGTTTTGTATTACAGGAAGAAGTGACCTGTGCAAATCTATGCAAAACTAGTAGGGAACTGTACTGCTGCTTGACATTTGCCTTGGCTGCTGTTGCTTTATCTGCTTAATGAGAAATCTTCAGATGCCCTCCTTTTTAATATGTTTTCTGAATATCTGCAGGGTATATCTAGCTGTCCATGCAATACCAAAGTGCTCATAGTGCAGGTAGTAGTGTATAAAATCTACTGTAACATGAGCACTTACAGTCATGCTAGACAAATTTACAATGAAAGGCCTCAAAGTGGTGGAAACATGGAAGTCTTCATGGGTTACTGTTTACAGTTAGTTTTGCAGGTTTGCATTCAGCTGGCAAGTACCTGATGCTGTGCAAATCCATGCAAAACTGACAGTAGCGGTGGATTTCTGAAGAGCTGCATGTGTGAAATAGACAACGAGTGGTACTTCCAATATATTTGAGCAATGCAGGCTGGTTTCTGCATGGGTGGGGATTTGTTGCATTACTGGGTCTTGTGTTAACAGTATTGCACTTGTCCCGGCCTGTGGAGGAAGAAAGGACTTGACGACATATGGACTAAAATGTCAAATCCCTTATTCTTTTCTCCTATCGTCTTGCTGTTGTCGGGTGGATCGCGATGCAATTTTGATTCTTTCTCTTTAGTAAAATTGCACGGTATCCATCTGTAATCCGCAAGACGTTTTGCATGATAGAGCTAAGTAATGGTCTGAGATTATTAGTAGAATGATGTAGGCAGATTGTATATGTTTCTTAATTGTGACATCTAAAATAAAACATTTACTGACTTGCTGCTGTTAAAAGAAAATTGACAACTGGAAATCAGTGGCAGCATCGGTATGCAAATAGTTTGTAATTTGAAGGAAATTTTAATTGGTTATTTAGCCTGTCAACTGTGGCGTTAGCTCTCCGACTTAGGAGTGGAGGAAAATAATGACACGAAATAGGGCCATGAGTCTGCCATTAGACCCGTTATGGCTCCTTGGCCATTCAGTAAGATCATGGCTGATTGATTGTGACTTTAATAACTTGCCTGCAATACCTAAAATACCAGTTTACAAATTAGGAGCAGAAGTAAGCTGTTCAGATACTCGTAACCTGCACTGCATAAAATGAACGCTGATATGTTTCTTACAAGTTACACATCCCTAACTACTCCTGATAACCTTTGATTTCATTGCCCAACAGAGGTCACTGCTTACACCTCAGATCTTCATGGCCTCCGCCTTCATGAGTGCAGATGATGGCTTAGTGGTATTTTTACTAGACTATTAATCCGGAGACCCAGGTAATGCTCTGAGGACCCAGGTTTGATCCTGCCATGGCAAATGGTGAAATTTGAATACAATAAAATTTGGAATTAAAGGTAGTGATAACCAAAAAGCCACATTTGATTGTCAAAAAAGCTCACCTGGTAAAGTTCTTTACGGAAGGAAATTGCTGTCCTTTCCTGGTCAGGCCAAAATGAGTCCAGACCCCAGCAATGTGCTGCTTGCCTAACCAGTAATACACACCCTTGAATGAATAAAATTCTCGCCTCTATTCTCAAAGGGCAATTCTTAATTTTAAAACACTGCTTCCTAGACTCCCCTGCAAGTGGAAATCTTTCCATATGTATTACTTCAAGATTATTCAGGATCCTACATACTTGTATTGAGTTACCCATTGCTCTTGTAAACTCCAGTGAAATCAACACCATTCAGTATAAACTATCTTCCTAATACAACCTGTTCATTCCACATATCAATTGGGTAGACCACCTCTGAGTAGCCTCCAATGCATTTGTGTCCTTTTTTATTCACTTGAGATGTGGGCAGTACTAACTGGGCCAGCATTTATTGCCCATCTTTAAAGTAGGAGATCAAAACTGCATGTGGTATTCGAGGTGTGGAGTTACCAATGCCCTATAATAACTGGAGCATAACATCCTTGTTTTTGTGATCAATTCCACTTGTAATAAAGGATTGCAGTCTGTTGATATTTTCCTAATTAACCTCCTCAGATGTTATGACACGTGGGACTTCAATCTGGCCTCTTAGCTCAGAGGTTAGGGATACTATCCTTGGCACAAGAGCCTTGGATTGCAGTCTTTTTTTTTTTAATTCCCAGAATTATCTTGCAACTGAAGGGCTTTCCCACGACCAAAATCACTGTGATTGTTCTTTGTAAAACTAGTAACCACCAGTAAAAACACTCATGGCTCCAATTCAGTGTTTGCAAGCAAAGCTTATTGTGAACAATGCACACCATCAAAAGTGAGGGGGAGGGTTGCGGTCAGTTGGCTGCTTTGATTTATGCACTTGGATCCCTCTGTATCTTGGCATTCTATAGTTCTGTGTTTTGCATTGACAAGATTAGGGGGGAAAGAAAAGTGGTATGACCCAAGTAAGCAAAGGCGTATGTCCGCCGTATCCATAGTGTGTGTTACTCCTTCAAAGAACTCCCAATAAATTAACTAAATATGATTTCTTTCACAAAATGATTCTGGCTATTCCTGATTATCTTGGAGTTCTCTAAGTTAGCAGTTTTAAACTCCTTAATGATTAATTCTAGTACCATTGAGTGTAAAGCTAACTGGCTTACAGTTATTTTGCTCCTCCTAAGAGGGGAGATATTTGCAACTTAAGTCTCATGGAACCTTTCTATAATCTAGGGAATTGAAAGTTTTTTGAGAAGATTTGTAGCTCTGATGTGTTTGTAGACTTGCCCCCTGAGCCAATGTGTTTGGTTGCAGATGATTCGTTACCCTGCTAGGTAACATCGTCAGTGCGCCTCCAGTGAAGCGTTGGTATTCTGTCCTGCTTGTTATTTTTATGCCTCAGTTTGCTGGGGTGGTGGTATTACTTCCTGTTCTGTTTTTCAGTGGTTTGAATTAGACCCGATATGCAATGTTTGTTGGAGTTTCTGTTGGAATGCCAGGCCTCCAGGAATTCCCTGGCATGTCGTTGTTTGGCTTGTGCTATTATGGATGTGTTGTCCCAGTCGGATTGATGTCCTTTTTTGTCAGCGTGTATTGAAACCAGTGAGAACTGGTCGTGTCGCTTGGTGGCTAGTTGGTTTTAGTGTATCCTTATTGTCAGTTTTCTTCCAGTTTGGTCTATGTAGTGTTTCTCACAGTCCTTGCATGGTATTTTGTATATTACATTAGTTTTATTGGTTGTGGGTTTGGCATCTTTTACATTTGTCAGCTGTTGTAAGGTGGTTGTACAGGAGCTGCATCAGGACATTATTCAAATGGACCACAGCACATTTCAGCAACCTGCAATTGCGCAAAGCAGAACAGGAGCACTTTTATACGGAGTTTCTAAAAGGAATGGATACCCAAAAAGCACAATCTGCCGTTACCTCTGCAACAGACCACAACACGGCCAGACACACTAGTCACCCTACCGTACATCAGGGGCATATCAGAGGTGACCACAAGATGACTACTACCCCTAGGTAACAGGGTAGATCATAAACCAACAACCTCCCTGTGAGATGAACGTAAAGGATCCCATACCCACAACCAATAAAAGTAACGTAATGTACAAAATACCATGCAAAGACTGTGATAAACATTACGTAGGCCGAACTGGAAGAGACATGACCAGTTCTCGCTGCTCTCAATACACACAGACAAAGAAGGACATGAATTCGAATGGATGTGTTGTCCTATAGTAGCATGAGCGAAACTGAGACATGCCAGGGAATTCCTGGAGGCCTGGCATTCCAACCGGAGCTCCATCAACAAACACATTGAACCGGACCTGACATACAAACCACTGAAAGACAAAACCGAGGCATATAAATAACAAGTGGGACAGAACACCAATGCTTCACTGGAGGCGCGCTGACGATGTTACCTAGCAGGGTGATGAAATGTCTGCAACCTCAATCTAGGGAATCTTAGAAAATTAGCACCCACTGCATATTCTATCAGCTTATGGTATTTAAAAAGATACACGCAAACCTTTCCTAATGTAACCCTTTCCAGAAAGTAGCCTTGAATCTTTTCTGAAGTGCCTCCATTTGTAAGTGTTTCCCTATGTAAGATGATCAAAATCTTCATGAAGTAGCAAGACTGACTGTCTTACTCCATGCCCCTTACAAGAAACACCAGAAACAAAAACCGAAATTGCTGGCAGAAGTTTCTGAAGAAGGGTTGCTGACCAAAATATTAACTAAGCAAGTCTGACAGCATCTGTGAAAAGAAAGCAGAATTTTTCTGGAAATTTGTTTTTATTTCATTACTGTATTTGTTTTTTTGCAAGCACACAGATCATCCTTGGCTCAGTTCTGTAGATTCTTCATTTAAATGATACCAAGCTTTTCTATTGTTTCTGCTGAAAGTGGACAACTTCATGTTTTCCACCTTAATGCTTTTACTTCATACCAAGTTTTGCCTGCTGCATTAGCTGATTGATCTCCCTTTGAAGTCTGAGGAAGGGTCACTCAACCCGAAACATTAACTCTGATTTCTCTCCACAGATTCTAGCAGACCTGAGCTTTTCCAGCAGTTTTCGTTTTTGATTTTCAGCATCCACAGTTTTTTCTTTTGGGTTCCCATTTCTCCCATGTCAGTCATTTAGCCAGACTCTTAGCTCTTTAATCCAGTGTATTCTGCCAATTTATTCATCATTCAGGTAACTGCTGAGATTTTCGCCTGTTGAGGTTTTCACAGAATGTCTCTTAGCTGCTCAAATTCTGTATGCAGAATCTCTCTTCCTAATTCTACATGGTAGCCATGTGGACCAGAACTGCTTGATTTTTCATCTATTAGGTATAGAAGTAGGGCATTCAGGCCATCAGATGCTTCATTCACTGAGTTAATGGCTGATCTGATGACCCTTGATTTCATTTTCCTGTCAACTTCAGTTAATTTGCAGGGTGTGGGTGCCACTAGCTAGGCCACCATTAATTGCTCATCAAGCAGTTTTGAGTCAACCACATTGCTGTGGGTCTGAAGTCCCAAGTCAGACCAGGTAGGAATGGCATTTTCCTTCCCTAAATGATATTGTTGGAGGACCCATCTGGTTTACCAACTGGCATTGGTTTCATGCTCCTCATTTGATGTTTTAAAGTTTAAATTACATTTTCTGCAATGGTAGGATTAAATGTAGGTCCCCAGAACCTTAGTTGGGTATGTAGGTTGATTGGCTAGCACTGCTGCCTCACGGTGCCAGGAAGGTGGGTTCAGTTCCACCTCAGGCCACTGCCTGTTCTCCCTACGTCGCTGTGGTTTCCTCCCACAGTCCAAAGATGTGCAGGTTATGTGGACTGGCCATGCTAAATTGCCCCCTTAGCATCCATGTATATGTTGACTAGATGGGTTAGCCATTGGCAATGCAGGGTTAGGGTAGGGGGTGAGTCTGGGTGGCATGCTTGGAGAGTCTGTGGACTTCTGGACTGAAAGGCGTGTTTCCTCACTAGGGATTCAATGGAAATACCATGAGGTTATTACCGCCCCCTTTGTAATCCTTGATGCTGTTACTGATTTTTAAAAAAAAAATTAAGTTCTTCCTCATTTCTGTTTTGTGAATGACCAGTTCTGAAATTATGCCCTCTGGTCCTAGATTTCCCCCACAAGGAGAAACAGCCTTTCTGCTACCTTGTCTCCCAAGAATCTTGTATGTTTCAGCAGGGTTGTATCCCATTGTTCTCAGCTCCAATGGCTACAGGCCAATGAGTCCCTCCATACTGGAAATCAAATTAGTGAATGTTCTCTGGATTGCCTCTAATGCTAGTATATCTTCCTGCAGTTAAAGGGATCAAAACTGTTTAGAGCACTTTTAGATATAGCCTAACAAGTCTTGGGTAGTTCCAACAAGACGTCCCCATCTTTATACTCCTGTTACCTTTGAAATAAAAACAAATGTTCCATTTGCCTTCTCTATGACTGACTGAACTTGGATGCTGGCTTTGTGATTTAAGGACACCCAAATCTCTCTTCTGTTGCTTTCCACAATCTTTGTCCATTTAAATAAAATTAACTTACTGCCAAAGTCCATAACCTCACATTTCCCACGTTAAACTCCATCTGTCAAGTTTTTGCCTGCTTGCTGAACCCTTTACAGATTCTTAAGTCATTCTCACGCCATCTGCAAATTTGGCTAAACGATACTTCTTTCCTCATCCAAACCATCTATATGTTGTGAATAATTATAGACCCAGCACTGATCCTTGTACTCCACCAGTTAGAGGTTGCCATCTTGAAAGTGCCCTCTTTAACCCAACTCCCTTCGAGTAGTTTTAGAGTCAGATATACAGCACGGAAACAGACTCCTTCGCTCCAACTCATCAATGTTGACCAGAGATAGTAGGAACTGCAGATGCTGGAGAATCTGAGGTAACATGGTTAGAGCTGGATGAACACAGCAGGCCAAGCAAAAATTTTTCTGAAGATGGGTCTAGGCCCAAAATGTCAGCCTTCCTGCTCCTCTGATGCTGCTTGGCCTGCTCATCTAGCTTTACGCCATGTTGACCAGACGTCTGTTATAAAGCTAGAGGTAGTAAGAACTGCCGCTGCTGGAGTTAGTTTCTGAAGAAGGGTCCCAACCTGAAATGTCAGCTTTCCTGCTCCTCTGATGCTGCCTGGCCTGCTGTGTTCTTCCAGCTCCACACTGTTATAAATCTAGTCAGCATTTGACTCATATAATTGTACCAGCCTCTGCCACTTATTTGGGCAGCTCAATCCATATTCCCACCACCCTCTGCTTGAAAAAGTTGCCCCATAGGTCCCTATATCTTTTCCCCTCTTACCTTAAACCTATGCCCTCTAGTTTTGGACTGTCCCCATCTTGGGGGACAAAGACCCTGAAACGTCAGCCTTTCTGCTCCTGTGATGCTGCTTGGCCTGTTGTGTTCATCCAGCTCCGCACCTTGTTGTCTCGGATTCTCCAGCATCTGCAGTTCCAACTATCTCTGGGACAAAGACCTTGCCTATTTAGGCTATCCATACCCCTGATAACTTTATAAACTTGTATAAGGTCGCCCTTCAGCCTGTGCCACTCCAGGGAAAATAAACTGGGACTATTCAGCCTCTCCCTACTACTCAAAAACTCGAACCCTGGCAACATTCTAATCACATCTGAACCCTTTCTGGTTTGACAACTTCCTTCCTGTAGCGGGGGACCAGAACTGGTTCAGCCAGTTTGGGCATTGTGTGCAATGTCCTGTACAATTGCAACATGATCTCCCAACACCTATACTCAATGCACTGACCAGAACAGGCAAGCATACCAAATGCCTTTTTCACTATCCTATTTACCTGTCACTTCACTTTCAAGGAACTATGAACCTGCACTCCAAGGTCTCTGTCCAGCAGCACTCCCCAGGACCTTGCTTTTTAAGTGCATAAATTTTGCCCTAATTTACCTTTCCAAAATACTAGAGTTAGCCAGTTCTTTGTGTAGACACATTACTTCCAGCACCATGGGTCCTTTTCTCAAGAAGTGGGGTTTCATCAAACATCTGGAATTCTAAAATCTTCGAA